TATGGGGTTTGTGTGTGTGTGTGTTTCTGCGGTATTTGGCGAACACACGCTCCGCCGACGTGCGCCCCGGCTCTCACGGTGCAGTGTAAATAAACTCGTCCTGGATCCGGGACGAACCGCTCCACAGAAGAAACCCGGCTCGTCCCGAGACTGAGGAAGGGGCACATAGGAAAGCAGTTTTTAAAACTCGCAGCGCTTTCCCGTGACTGGAGCACAGCTTATATATATATGTGCGAGTATTAAAAAAAGTGTGGAGAGAAAGTATTTTTTTCTGTTTTGTGGGGTAAAAAAAACAGATTGTTTCTCCTCCTCACGACACCTTCTTTGAAATGTATTAAAATGTAAATCCTTTTTATGTTTTTTTACGGAATGCAGTGCTGTGCGACTTCCAATCAATAACCTTTGCCCCGCACGGGGCTAACATTAAAACAACGTACGCTTTTCTCTTATAAATATGTATGGCAGATTTGCTCCTCGCCGGGGGCACAGCTCGCTCCCTCGGGCTGCTTCGCCAAATCGCGGCACATCAACCATCCGCGCGGAGGTGTCAGAATCCCCGCGCGCGAGTCCGCCGCGAACACGTGAGCTGAGCTCGGGGACGGGGGGGGGCTCGCTCTCTGGATTTGTTCCCATAGATCGCAGAATCGATCAAGGCAAAGTCGCTGTGTTTTTTTATTCCCCCAAAAAAAGAAATCATCATCATCGTCATCCTCCTCCTCCTCCTCCTATTCACGGTAACCCACAGCGGTGCTGTAGAACCCGCCCGATCTTGTCGACCAGAGACACTGCGCCGGTTTGCATGCCTTTTACAAACTTTCCCTTCCCAGGTGAGGTCTCTTCCACCGGTCCACTCGGTAAAAACGTGCTCGGTTGTCTTAGCCTTGTTTGCTCATCATCACCATTCCTACCTGACCGGAGAAGCCGGGTAAGGCCCACAGAGTACCTTCAACGGGTGGCATACGTTAAGACATTAGAATACTAAGGGATGCCAAGCACATACTGATACTGTACGGTGCAGAATATGGTGTGTTGCATTGCACAGGCAAAAATAAAAGACAACCGCTCTGCTTTAGACAGGCGAGAAAAGTGCAACTGGAAAGAACTGTGCGATCGCCGCGTGATCGGCGAGCTGGGCGACCGCGCGGGGCAGCGCGAGGCAGGCAGAGCGAGGGCCCGGCGCGCTCCCGGGATACCCGCTCGCCTCAGGCGGGGGGGCGGGATCGTGGTTTAAGGTGGACCGGGAGAAAACTGCTTTCGCTTTGAGGTCTTCAACCAAGTTCAAAATCACGGAGAGGTGCTGGAGCTTGGTGAAGCAATGGGCAGTGATTCCGGGAGCTACATTATATGCTGACAGTCACCTTTACCAAAAGGGTTGTGGGGGTGTGGAACAAACTACCCAGCGCTGCTGATGAGGCCGATACCCTGCTTTCTTTCAAGGGCGGGGGGGAGAGGGAACCCTGGATCGATTAAGGGCTTATTTCCACACGGGCTAGATGGTTCTCTCTTTTGCAAACTGTCCAGTGTTCATATTCAGCTGCAGACAGGCGACCGTCCTGTATTTGTCCGGATGAGCAGGACTAGACATTCTCTGAAAACAAGAAGTTCACTCCTCGCAGAGAAGTCAACAAAACAAGGCCTGCCTTCATCTGCTGTTCTCTGAAGAATCGCCTCGGTCATATTTCTATGCCCACGACCTATTTTCAAACGATTATCGGCCGCCTTTTCTTTTCTGACTTGAAAGGCGCGGCCCTGCTCCCCCTGTGCTGTAGGCCTGACGAGTTCACCTCCGTCACGAACCCCCGCACGATTCCCCCTCCGCCCGGCAGCACAACAGAACCAAAACATTGTTCTGAGAACTCGAGTTGCAAACGCGGACGAGCGAAACGCAGTATTTCAATCCCCCCACACCGCCATGGTTGGTCTACACGTCAGGGAGGTACCCTGTGTTTGAGTATTTTAAAGTGGAAGTAAAGGGGTATTTGCAGACTATTTCAAAATGCAAAAATATGAAAGCGGTGCGGACATTATTTTTAATTTGTTTAATCTTTTTTCATAACTTGAATTTATGTAGTAGTATGTACCCCTGACGATATTTTTGTTTTGAATTGTTATATGTACTCTTGTTTGTATTGTAATGGTGGTTCTTTTGTGAAGCATCAATAAAAAAAAAATGGTTGGCCTACACGTTGAGCTGGGGTTTAACCAGCCTAAATATCATTATTATAGAAGGGGTCTTCATGAACGCGTTTCTACCGAGAAACGTTAGAATACGATCAATTAAATACGATCCCTAGCACTATACATTCCACTGGTATAAAAACACACATGGTCCTCTTTAAATTCCACTTCTGATCACTGGCAGAGGTTATTCGGATTTGGTCACTTGCTACTGACACAGATTTGCAAGCCCGGCAGAGTTGCCTACAGTAGCCATTTTAAGTGCAACCAAAGCATATCGTCACAGCTCCAAGGTGAGGCGTACTCCGACACGAAGCCGTCAGAACGCCTTGCTCTCGCCCCGAGAATGAAAAGGCGGTCTGATGTAAGAATTCATTCAACGATAGGTGTTGCGCAGGCCGCCGAAAGTCAAAAGGACGCCGGTTCAATAGCTGCGGAGCCAGAACATCACATTCTGTCCACCTTAACAGGAAGGGAGGCGGCGATAAGGCTGTTACCCTGAGTTTCCTCCCCACTGTGATGCGGAAAAGCTGCTCTGCACTGCCGGGCCCTATATAAAGCAGGCGGGTACACAGAGCAGCTCACAACTCAGTGGACAGCTCCGCGGTGCTGATCTCTCCCCGCAGCAGTTCCGCAGCGACTTTCTCCTCCGTGAACTTCACCACAACCTCACGCCCAGAACCAGCCATGCGAGTCGCCGTGGAGGGGATCCCGTGGAAACTTTTTCTGCTCTCCGGCGTGCTCCTGGGGGGGTCGAGTCAAGACTTCGGGCAGACCCAGTTCATTTGCACGTCCGTGCCCAAGGATATGGACCTGTGCGCCGCGACGATGCAGAACAGCGGGCCGGCGGAGGACCTGAAGACCACGGTGCTGCAGCTGAGAGAGACCGTGCTCCAGCAGAAGGAGACGATCATGAACCAGAAGGAGACGATCAAAGAGCTGACGTCTAAGCTGACCCGCTGTGAGGGCATGGCCGAGCCCGGGGACTCTAAGCCGGGCTCCAGGAGGAAGGACACGGGCTCTTCTAAAAATACGATGGGGGATGTATCGAGGGGTCCCGCGGACACGCTCAGCCAACTAGGACAAACTTTACAATCGCTGAAACAGAGGCTGGAAAACCTCGAGGTACGTATGTGTCTGAAACACTGAGCGAAGAACGCCGGAGAGATCTCTTTTTATTGTTGTTGTTGTTGTTGTTGTTTTTGTCTTTACATCTGTGCCTTTTGTATCACCCCCCAAAACAAGGCTTTAGGTCTTGTTTTATTTTGCGACCGCCTGTTAAACAAACCCCACGAAAAACCCCACTTTATTCTTTCTCAGACTTCAAGTAGATGGTGTCCACACCTGCACTGTATTTAGAGGTTTTTCCAAAACTAAGTTTTTAATGTGAAGAGTTTTATTTTTTTACTTTTATTTTTTTTTACATTCATCGACTTTGTGGTACTCGAGCCACCTTCTTTCACGGAGAAGGCTTGACCGCCGCCGCCGCTGCAGCAGAGCCACCTGTGTGGCCGGGGTGGGAGGGGGAGGCGGACGGGACGCACTCAGAGGCTCGCCGAGGCGCTGAGCTGCGAGCGGGCTCGGTCGCTCTCAGCCTCACACGCTGCGCTCCGCGTCCGGCGAGAAGCCTTTGCGGCCCCGTTTGTCACCGAGACCCCCGTAACTCGAGCCGACCCCTCTCTCGTTTCCCGTCTCCCGCAGCAATTCAGCAGGAATAACAACTCGGCGCAGGCGAGCAGCCTGAAGGACCTCCTGCAGACCAAGATCGACGACCTGGAGAAGCAGGTGCTGTCGCGGGTGAACAGCCTGGAGGAGGTCAAGCCGGCGCTGAAGAACGAGACGGAGCAGCGGGGCAAAGTCGAGTCCACGCTCACCTCCCTGCACCACAGGATCAGCGACCTGGAGAAAGGTGAGTCGCCGCAAAACGGCAGCAACAACAAAACGACAACAAACACAAAACGCAACAACGAAGAATTAGATGGACCCGTCCCTTGACCTGTTCAGGCGCACTGTGCTTACAACGTTATGCGCTGTCTAATTCTAGATCATTTGAGACTAATGTGTGCAAGGCCGGAGAGGAGAAATGAACCCCCATTTCTTTTATTTTTGGGGGGAGGGGATACCGTGCTCCCTGTTTTTTTCTTCTTTTTGCCTCTCGCCACACGTGTACAACCGTCTCCCATTCTTCCCGCAAGCCTTTTCCGTTGTTTTTTGTTTTTTTTTAAAAAAAAACCCCAACGAAACTGCGCTCTTGTGTTGCGGAAACGTCGCTGCGTCGATCCCACCCGAGCCCAAGTCGCCCGCTCGTTCGCTCGTGGGGTACCGCTGCACTGCGCCGCGCGCAAACTTGAGCAGGGGGGCTGCAGAGCGACACCTCTCGGGCTCCGCCTGCCTCCCCGGCCGGCCGCTGACAGCGCGTCGCACTGCGTGAGATCCGCCGAAGGCTCAGTCCAAGACAGGCGGCCGTCCAAAGTGTTGCGCTGGGGCCGCGGGTTTTCTGGGTGACCTAGAGCAGTTGTTCCTCTAAAGCGAGCCCTGTAAAGCGAAGCGCTTTCAGTTGCACAGTCGCGGAGGAGGAGGAGGAGGGGGGAAACCCGTCAGAAAGACAGCGAGAAGCTGCGAAGAGGTGGAGGAGAGTGAAGGGGAACTGAGGGGGGAGGAGGGGAAGAGCGGAGAGCGCTATTCCCCCCGGGTTCAGCCATGTGACTCCTATCGTGCCGCAGGAAGCGTGGAGCCCTGCGAATCGCTACTCGGGGTCTGTTATGTAACTCGAGGGCTACCCGCCGCAAGCAGGAGTTTTCATTACCCGGGCGGAAAAGCTGCCTGTCATCCCGAGAGGTCAGCGTGCAGATGTCCACAGAAATGTACCGGAGTGCTCTAGAACAGCCCAACGGTCGTTTTCGGGTTCTGTTCCCGAGGGATGGAGCGGTCCTTGGCCGTTTTTTTTGTCCCGCCTCGTTAGGCGCGGTGCGTTTCTGGGACTGCTCTCCCCGCGTCCGGCAGAGAAACGTGCCGTCGGCGCTCCCGGAAGTCGTGGGAATCGCAGAAGCAGAAACGCGCACCCGCGGGACCACAGATGAGCGCTGCAGTTAAGCCCTGTGTTCTAGGAAAAAAAAAAACGCAACGTCCTTTACTGATGGAAAATGTTACCCTTACTGTAACAACGGAGGAAAGGTTCCCATCGAGAAGAGCCCATCCAGGGGGTTTGGCAGTGATGAGTTAACAGATCTGAGGTTCTCATCCAGCCATTACTTGCTAGGAGCCCAGACATCCACTTCAACAACGTGGCCGGGCAGCTTGTTCCCCTCCCCCGCCACCCTTTGCGTCAAGAAGTGCCTCTTTTTGTGTTCTCGGGTGTCGATGCACTAAAACGCCACTGGGCCCTTTCCTTTGCTTCAGGTCAGAAAGACAACAGACCCCTGGATAAGTTCCAGCTCACCTTCCCCCTGCGGACGAACTACATGTACGCCAAGGTGAAGAAGAGCCTGCCGGAGATGTACGCCTTCGCCGTGTGCATGTGGATCAAGTCCAGCGCCTCCCCGGGAGTGGGCACGCCCTTCTCCTACGCGGTGCCGGGGCAGTCCAACGAGCTGGTGCTGATCGAGTGGGGCAACAACCCCATGGAGATCCTCATCAACGACAAGGTGAGGGCAGCGCGGAGCACAGCCGGGAGGGGCCGGGACCGGAAGCAAGGCTCTTCTGGGAGAGCCTGCGCCTCTCCCCTTCTGGGGGGGGGGCCGCGTCTCAAACCCCCACCGAAGGCGAGAGGAGTAACGGCCGATTTCCCCTCTGGATGATCGCCAGAATCCAGGCCACGGTAATTCCGCGGAGATGAATGCGCCGCTGATTAAATTCACGGTGGCGGCAGACCCCCCCTCCCCCCACCGGGGCCCTGACTGGAAAATGTCTAAAGTTTGAGAAATGCGAGCAGCGTTTTAATCGCCTCGCTGATTTACAGGCGGGGCTGGAGCGCGCACAGAGCCCGGGTTAATTTTGCTCAACTCCAAATAAATTACTGCTTTTTTTTTCTGGCTCTGGCCACACGCCTGCATAATCGCCTTCTGAAGTGCCCCCCCCCCCCAGTAGGGCCCGGTGCTGGGGAGCAGGGGGGGTATCGTTCCGGTCAGGGGGCTGGTTTGTTTGGAGGTGTCTGGAGTCCTGAAGGCCCTCTCCTCCCTCCTCCCTCCCCCCCCCCAGGTGGCAAAGCTGCCCTTCGTCATCAATGATGGGAAGTGGCACCACATCTGCGTCACCTGGACCACGCGCGACGGCGTCTGGGAGGCTTTCCAGGACGGAGTGTTGCGGGGCAACGGCGAGAACTTGGCCCCCTATCACCCCATCAAGCCCCAAGGAGTCCTGGTCCTGGGGCAGGAGCAGGTAAGCCACACCTCTTCTGTTTGGGGGGGGGTAATGCCCTTTGGCCCATTAAGGGAGCTGCAGCTGCGGTCGCCACACGTGTCCCAGGCCAGACACGCCCCCTGTGGGCCCCCAGTGGCGCGGAGAGATGCCTCAGCAGTGGAAGAAGCCCCTTCACGATCTCCTCTCTTTAAGAGGCCAGGCTGAGGAGAGGGCTCTAAATCCCATTTATAGCTTCCATACTGGGGCCACGCATGAGCAAACTATTATCCTTCTGATGGCGAAATGAAAGGACAGGGTTTTATGTCTTCCTGCGGCCAGCGGGTCCAATGAAAAGGTGCAGTAAATTAGCCGATGAAATGTGCCCCGGCGGTGGAGCAGTGGACCCGCAGTGCGTTACAAGTGTATTTCACTCTTCAGTGTAGCAGCCATATCACCCTGCAACTCACAACTGGCAGCCCACTGGAGCTCAGCAGGTGTGAGCCTGTTCAGTACCTGGATGGGAGACCTCCTGGGAAAAACTAATTAATAATCATTATTATTTCCTCCTCTCCTCCAGGACACGCTGGGAGGAGGGTTTGATGCCACCCAAGCCTTTGTCGGCGAGCTGGCGAATTTCAACATCTGGGACAGGAAGCTGTCGGCCGGGGAGATCTACAACCTGGCCACCTGCAGCAGTAGGGCTCAGGTGGGCAACGTTTTCTCCTGGTCGGAGAGCAGCATTGACCTCTACGGGGGCGCCTCGAAGTGGACATTCGAGCCCTGTCGCCAGATCAACTGAGGACTGCAGAAAGCGCAGAGCCGACCGACCGACAACAGGAACAAAAAAACGGCCCAGCACAGACACGTGTCTGCAAGCTCCTGTCCTTCGAGTCTTCGTTCTTTTTTTTACAGTCCTTTAAGAAAAAAAAACAACAACAAAAAAAATCGAGAATTAAGAAAACACAGATGCCGAAAGAGTGTAGAACTTGTCTTCTTCTTCTCCTTCTCCTCGCTGTCACTGGTCTCGTCTTGTTTTCCGCGGAGCCCCAGCAGGAGGCGCTCCGCCGGACTCCGACCTGCACAGTCCCCCGTCCTGCTCTTGGGGAGGCGGCTGTGGCAGAGCGCGCCCACCATGGGCTGGCGCAGGGCTGCTCCCACGCGGGGGACACTCTGAGCAGCCGCTCCGCTGGAAAGACACTCCGCCTGGGAAAAACCATGAACCCCACCCCCCCCCCCTCCCCACTGGGAACGTGCACTGTGAAAGACAAGGGACCCACATGAGGACAGGTTTAAAGGACAAAACCAAGGACGGACCTCCTTTCAGCTCTCCTTACTTCTCTAATATTCTTATTGTTTGCTTTAAATGTTTGTGTAAAAAAAAAATGTTTTTAATTGCCAACTAAGTTTCGAGCCTGGGTGCCTTGGGCTGGTTGCGGAAATTCAGCACATCCGTTCTGATTTGCAAATGTTCGTTGTTTTTTCCTTTTTTTTTTAAAGAAGAAATTTCCTCTTCTAATAAATGTATTCAAAAGCAATTTGTTAAAGGCCATGACGTGTTTCGGCAGGTGTTTGTACTCTGTATTGGGAATGTTATCTGTACAGTAACAGCATGAACGACGCAGTGCTGCAGCAGTATCGACGAAAATCGCTTTCCTGTCCTCTCGGGTTGGGTTTTTTACTGTATTGTTATATGCTAAAAGCATGGCAACACTGAGAGATTATAAAACATTTAATTTTTGTAATAAAATTGTGATACATAACATACGGATTAATTCCTGGTGTCCGGGGAGGTGTAGGGAGAGAGAGGGGGAGCGGGCGGGTGAGAGAGATGGAGAAGAATGGTTCACGCTTAGAAATACCAAGAGATGAGCCGCAACTTTTCCACGTTCCTCCCCTCTTCACTGTGAGTACTGAGTCGTGAGAACTGCCACTGTTAGATTCCTGGTTTTAATTCACAGCACTTTGCAGGCACGTCCCCCCCCCCATCATTTCAGAAAGGACTATTGCATTTCTATTTCTATTAGTGTTCAGGACCAAACCGCCAGGTGTCTGCAGTGCCGAAGTGTGGCCCCTCCAGGGGTCCAGTATCTCGGGGTTGGATTAAACCACAGCAATCTCCAGTCCAAGCCGGGACCCACAGTACCCGGATCAATACGAACTAGCCCAAGGGCTTGTAAGTGCTGCGACAGCAAAGAGGTGCTGACGTATCTGCTGGCCAGTCGCGTTTCAGCCGAGTTCTGTTCTGCTGTTCTGCAGCGTCAGAAGTCATGGATTCCAGATGTGCGACTTTGCACTTTTGCAGAAGTGGTAATTGTGCGTTTTTCGTAGTTTGGGAGCTTTGTACCCAGGTGGTAAAAGCGCTGTCAAAAACATGGGTTGAAATGAATTAGTTATTAGTTAATTTGATTTGCATCTATCCAAAGCAGCTTACATGTGGAGCCCCTCGTCCAGCTGGGTATTTGACTGGAGTCATGTGGGTGAAGTGCCCTACTCAAGAGTACAGTTCTGAACACTCACCACTGTGCCCCTTTGTTAGGGCAGCGGGAGTTTTAAATGTGAATTCATGTGAAGAGCTGGGGAATGTCAGAGTCCATGGAGCTGAACTTTCTGCAATTTTAAACACATGGGCGGAACATTCAAAGAAACCAGAGAAAACAGCATTTTCTCCAACAACAGCCCTTAGTTTTTCACAACTGCAGAAAGTCCAGTAGGAACTGAAGCTAATAGCTTATAGAGTACATTATATTGCCGTATGTCTGAGGTGTTTGTCCATGCTCTGGAAGATCAGGTGTGTCTGGGTTCACTATGTGCATCAGGTCCTGAACTGAGAAAGAGATGGTTTTGAAGCTCTGAAAATACAGGAGGTAAGTCCCATACAGTCATTACCATGCCATAGATGTGAGGACGCTGTTTCCTGCAGAAGAGCTCACTCTGCTCTATTCTGGCTCTAAATGTAATTGTAAAGGAAATTGCTTCACAGTGGTGCTAAACCTCACGTTCCTACTCTTTAAACGCAGTGATCTTTTCACTGGGATGTGGAGGTTTTGGATATCGGTGTTGGTCGTTCATGGTGATAATGCTGCACCTCTTCCACTGTCGGAGCAAAGCTGCTTGACCATGAACCTCGTTCAGCCGAGAGCCTCCTGTAGGCGGCACACCTCAATCGCCTCGTTAGCAAGAGGCCAGCCTCCTCTTCACTGATCCTGGACGGGACTTGAGGCTTATTTACACTTTTCTCAAATAATTTTTAAAAATCTGTGGTTAGTAGGTTCCTGGAACACATTCCATCCATAATAGAAATCTTTTTCCACTAAGGTTTCATTCCTATGTTAATACTGTTGGGATGATCTACTAATTCTCCCTCTCCAGCTCAAACTGGACAAATGGGAAACACTTTGATGCATCTGTCCTCACCTGTCCGTATGTAACTTAAAGGGATTTGGTTGTCCAGCCTTTAGGGGTTGAATTCCATTAAAATGTGAATTTTTAACACTGTGTACAGCACATTGCCTTTAATGGAGGGCTCCCCAGTCTCCCAGAAGGTGTGTCCATGGGTTTTCAGTCCAGCGAGGCTGGTCATGACCCGACTCAGCTCATCAATGGCTCAGTTACAGTATACACCTCCTCTCTGCTCGGAGGTCTGGAGAACGTGCCAGGACCCTGAGTGAGGATCCAGGCTGTAACGCCTGCGTGTGTCCTAACAGAAGTCTAATGGGAGTGAGGGGGTTAAGGAGCTTGGCAGAAGGGTGCTCTGGGAGAGAGGGGTGTGTGAGCAGTGAGCTGGCGGAGCAGTGCTGTGCAGCCCCCAGCTACCAGCTAGGGGGAGGGGGAGAGAGTCCGCAGAGCAGCCTGTCTCAGGCGGTACTTTCAGCACAGCATCTGCAAAAACAGCAAGAAAATGCCAGAGAAGTTGGGACGCATGGAGAAGAGCCTTAATGAGAACTTACACAAACCCATTAGTGTACAGTAAAGCAGATTAACAGTTACAAATGTGCTTCAAGAAGGCAATTCTGCCCTAATCGACCACATTACCCCAATGTCTGTTTGCAGCCCCTAAGCTAATGCAGTTAGCAGCTCACAAAAATAGTGTTTTTCTTATCTAAATAATTCCCCTTCATTGTGCTTACCTCAATTTATGCAAAGTAGATGTGTTTACTTATGTCTCTGTATGTATTGTATATGGATCTACAGACACAAGCATGCTCGTGCATACATGCATCTAAGTGTGTGTAGGTCTCCGATCAGTCCCCATGGCACGGCGTTCTGGGTTATTTATGAGCTTCCCAGCAGTGAGACAGGGAGTTATTTAAACATCAATACTTTCTCCAAGCTCAAGCCTATTTACCATAAAGTACAGCCATTTCCAGGTCCTAATCTGGACTCACAGGGTGTTGGGTTTCCACAGTGAAAGAGTGCAGCTGTTCCTTCCTCTTCCTGCCCAGCCTTGTACTTCTGTTTCAGAATACAGCTGTGATCACTGGGCACCGTTGTCAATTAGGCCTCTCAAGAAAGGGTTTAATTCACACCCCTGCGCCGTTTGCACAATGAGTGTCTTAGTGTGTAAAGTAAGATCAATAACGTGATTATTTAATGATAATAAGATCTCCTCATTACCAGTTTTGCTGTGATGCAGTGGTGGCCAGTTCAAGTCCGGTCATCCACTGAAGACTTGAGCGGCCGTGTGATGCAGGACTTCACTGGCAAGCTCAGAGGGGCCTCTTCATTGCATGAGATGGGCTGGGGTTTAGGGGAGCCATGTGGTCTCGGGACATGTACTGACAGCTGCCTATATAGTGCCTCCAGATCCTTCTCAGCACACGGAAGCACGCGGACACAGGCCCGGTTCGGGAACTCTCCAGGGTTTGCGCCCCGCCTCGGGCCGGCGCCGGCATGCTCATTCCTGCCCTTCCACACCAGTCCCCAGAGCAGCAGCCCTTGGGTGTTTATCTCCAGCTACTTGAAGTAGAAGGAAATGGTGTTAGATTGATCCATTTAAGTCAATAATGAGATTAATTAGGCCGTCAAGAACCCGGGGGGGGGGGAATTAAAAACCTGCTTTCTGGTCCTGTAGGACTGGCCTTGCAGATGGCTGTACTAGGGGAGCCGGGGGACAGGAACAACAGCTCAGCGTGCTCGTGTCCCACCTTTCAGAGGAGATATCGGCCCTGCCGCAGGTGACCTTGCACCACTTGCTGCTGACGCTCCCCACCGCCTCTGGATAAAAGCCCCCCTACCTGAGTAAAACCTGCCTGAAGTCCAGTATGGTCTGCTGGATTGCCTAGATATGTCGTGCAGGGCCTGACGCAGACGATAATTCAGAAGTGTCTGGGAAAGATCTTTAAAATGTGATTCGTGTCTTAAATGGAATATACTTACACTAAATTATATATATATCTAAATTATGCTTCCTCTCTAGTTTTGAACACAACACTCAGCACTGGGAGAATATTTTTCACAGCTGCCATGTGAAAGTAGAGCACAGCACCCAGCGCAGTCATTTCCATTTGATTAAAAAAAAAGAACTCTACCCAGCCTCATTTTTTCCAGTCAGTGAGAAGTCCCAGCCGGAGGCAGGCAGCTCCGAGTGCAGCGCTCATGGCAGTTAATGAGCAGGGGGAGGCGGTGAGCTGGACGCGGGGAGGTATAATAAGCCTGCAGTCTCGGGGAAGGCGAGTGCAGCTGACAGCCCCTCACAGCTGGATCTATTGCAGGCGACACGGCTGATGTCATCCTGGCCCCCTCGCCGAGCCGGGGGATCTGATCATCCAAAACCAGCCCTCGGACAGGCGTGTGTGGTCAGGATTAGGGCAGGGCGGGCGAGACTAGAACCCAGTCGTGCCCTGCAAACAGCTGGGCTCTGCGCGGATCAGTAACTCTCCTGGGGACAGAGTTCTGCCCCTGCTTGCCACTCGGACCCTCTGCCATGCGGTGATCTGGTGGTTTGGGCTGCAGGAGACACACAGTGTGCCACGCAGAATAACGTCACACACACTTCTCCCTGCAGCCCAGATCTCTGCTTTGTGAGGATATACAATGATAATTCCTTGCATTTGTACATCTTTTTTTTTTCACACCAAAAGATCCTGAAGTTCTTCACACACAGAATAGGAGGGCACCCATATCTTCCACCATGGAAAGCATTGAAACGCAGCATCCACTGGGTGACACTCAGCACCGCAGCACCTGTACACAGCCGGCTAGCAGGAGCAGTGAGAAACTGCCTCACCAGTAATCAGAGGTCAAGCAAGGCAGTCAAAGATCAATCAGGCTCTTACAAACAGCGCAGGAGGATCTTCAATGACAATATGCACGAATAACAACCCAGACAGTCAGGACCTGGGTTTAATGTCCTCAGTTCAGTTCAGTATATTTTTCATATGCACAAGTGCGATGAAATGCTTATTTGCATGTACTGTCTGCTCCAAACCAAAGACATTAAGGAAACACCAAAACCTAAACACAGAACAGCAGCTGCAACAACAGCAAAGTGAAATAACACACAGCTTAAATGCCAGTCGGCAGGAGCAGCGTGCTAAAAGTGTGAGTCAGTCCAAACCATGCCACCTTCCAGAGCACAGCGCCCGCTGTCAGCACACTGGGGTGTAGGGCTGGAAAACTTGGTCCAAAGGGCACCTGGTGATCCAGCAACACCTGGTACAGCCGCCACCTGATTCCCCTTCGGGATCTCCAGTCACCAGCCCAGCCCATCGCACCTTCCGAGATGTGAGACTACAAGGTGTTAACATCGCCGCTAGTGAAC